ATACAATCGACGTGCTACTACTATGATTCTGTGGATACAATATTCTTTGGGAGGCATAATATGTGTATTTAAGCATAATGATGCTTGAGGCTTAAATATATCACTCTCAAACTGAATAAGTTCGAAAGGTGATGATGTATGACATGAACTTATTTGTAATAGAAGGTTACGATAACTTATCTGTTATTAAACCTTCTGTACCGTGCAGTTATGTAGGAACGAGTGTTTCAGCTGGTGCTGCCAGAAACAAACGAGTAGCCTTGAACTCAAGTCCCGAGGAAGTTGTGCGCCTCTTTGAGGAGATATGAATTTTGAGATACCAGGTTGCTTCTTGCTGTAAAGTTAGGACTTGTATGAAAGACAATGAAACCATTAGAGGCAAGAACGATAAATAATATCTGAATGGACTGAATCATAAATTCTGTTTAGTTAAAGAGAATTTTGTCCAAGTATGCCCTTTAACAGTCCAGGGACTATGCTGCGCAATCAAAAGATTTAGCGTCAGAATATAAATAATAAAATCATTAGGGACCGTTTTACAAATTTTAGAAAATTTAGAATTCTTGTCGAGCGGTTGCGGCTGCTTGGATTTTCACCGTAACTAGGGGCTTTGTAGTCCTCCCTGGCTGATTTGCTTCTCGATCTTGTTTGGTTTGAGGAGGCTATGTAGTCTTTCAAACCAAACTTGTGCTTGAATTGTTGCATCTCTGGCCTTCCTCGAATTGTTAAAGTGTCGCAGAGATATATTCGTCTAGAAGATTAAAGTCTGAAGCTAGCTTAAACTTTAAAAAGGGATTAGAAATAATGTATAATTTGGAATAAACTGACCAGTGTGGTATGCAGCCGTATGCAGTGAGTGAGTGACAAGCTCAGGAAAGCTAATTCTTAAGTTGTCATGAAATCAAGTTAGCCAGATCAAAAGTTTTAACGAAAAACCTGGACCCATATGCAGCCGAATTTGTGCCTTGATTCCGTGAACCATGATAATTTCTGTTTACTATCCTGGGCTATCAAAACTTGAAGGAAACACGTCTCGAGAATGCGCCAAAATCATTAAAATCTCTAATATAATGATTAATCATCAAAGCATATAATATTCAAGTCTAGTTCAAAATCCCAGGTGAATTTGACAAAGGCCCAGTTTAATACAAAAAACGTAGGATATTTTTACCCCAGGTAGTAACCTAATCATTGTCGGTTAATTAAACAACCAGAGCTTAAGTAGGTATGTAAATGGAAACTAAACCTAACTCTTCTTTGTATAGTAGTAGGCTAGTTAATCCTTGATAATTTAGAAGAAACAAGCCAAGCAAAAACTTGGAAAAAAATTAGATTTGCTGGAAGCTTTATTGAAGGGGTCTCGATTGCTTTTAGGAGTATTTGTATACCCCATATACCCGAATAAGCACAAGAAATCACCATGCAATCAAAGGTGCCCTAAAGAAGGTGTTTTCAATTCATGACTGCTTATTATCCCGTTATACGGGGTTCAGAAGAAGCGTAGGTTGAGCTGGATTGAAAACTTGATTCATAATTGATATCAATTAAAAATATCAAACCTGGAACCTGGATATCATAATTTGACGGAGCTCACGCACGTAACCATAACCATCTCTGTGCTCGATCCTCCTTGATCAAAAGGAGGCGTTCGTTGTCCCTCTCTCCACCTTCCTCACTAGAATATTTGTTGATGGCGAAAACCCTAGTCACGGGTCTCACTGGATGTGCCACTTGACGAAGAATGGATTCACACCGGCATCTCCAGTTGATTGATCCGACAGCCATGGCGGTATCGAAACCCTAAAACCTGCAAAGAGGGTCTTGGGGTCTCTCGAGGGTAGACACTCCGATACTTAAATCAGTAAGAATAATTGTGATAGGGGTATTGATTATAGTGCGCAGAGCGTACCTTTGATGTGAGGGGTTGATCCCTATTTAGGTTATGAAACCCTTTCTTGGCAGGAAAGTAATTAAGAACCACGGTTAGACCTTTCACTGAACTTGGGCCGACCTAGTTGCGGGCCGTACTATTTGGACTCGTCACAAGATACTGATGTAATCTAGGAAAGTTTTAATTCGACATTTACTATATAAAACGTATATGATATCTCACAAATTCATTGTATCCAACTCAGACAATTGATGCGCATCCAAATTGCATCAAAAATTTTGCATTCATGAGAACATAATATATTTGTATTTCCTATGTATCCTTCAAAGTTCGAATTATATATTCTTTCACCATTCAAAAAAAATTATTTAAACTAAAAATTCTAAAATACATTATATTTTCTTATTAGTGAAGTGCTAAGAAAAAGTTTTAAAGTAAAAAGGGTACAAGATATGGAGTCACTACCGAGTATGTCTATTTATTTTATTGAGTCCAAACAATAATCTCATTTACCCAGAATATGTCCATTAGTCAAATATACCTAAAAGGGAAAAAATCCTCTTATGTGACCATATACTCTGAATATGTAGGATTGTGGCAATTCCACATCTTCTTTTTAAGGCGACTCACTCAATTCTTGCTTTCGTTCATTTCTCCATATCAAATCCCTTTGTTCCTTTCCTCAAGGTTCTCTTTCTTTCGTTTGTCCATTTCCCTTGTCAACATCAGTTTTTACAGTTTTGAATCACTCTTAGTTTATTCTCTTTGCTTTGATTTGGTCCCGTCAATTTTTTAATGGAACTTTTGTTTCTCAAGGAAGAAGAGGGACTTTCTCCCTTTCCCCTCAAAGAAAGAATCAATACAAGAAGTCTAGACCTTTTAAGACACCATTCTCCCTAGGATTTCCAAACTCATCGATAAGATTTCTTTTTTGTGTTAATGAGCAGATAAAATCTTTGATGCAATTGATTTGAATTACTATTCTATTGTTCGTATTTTTTCATTCCTCACATGGGGGGGCGGGGGGGTGGGGGTTGTCTATGTACGTTTCCATTTGTTTAGCTATTCAAATCTCTTCATTTTTGCTATTCAAGATGCTTAAAATATTCTTTTTAATTTTATTTCCCTCTTTTTTTTTTTTCAAATGGAAAACCCCTCGCCCATTTCTTTTCCAGTCGTTTTTATGAAAAATAATATAACGTTGATGAATAATGTAACCCTTTTCCCCTTTTAATCACTAATATATTTATGTAAATGCTCTTTCTTTTTTCAGGGCTTTCTGATTTGAAAATTAACCCAAGGATGATTGGAAGAGTGCCAATGATTATTGAGGTAGAGGAGAACCAACAAGAAACCGGGTCCGAGGAATCCAATGAGCAGGTCAACCTTAATACACGAAAACTCCTCTTGTGAATATCAAGATATCTTTTCGTTCCTCTGTTTGATGTTTACTAATTACTTTATTTACTGATATTTGTACAATGTTTTGGCATTAAATTTTCTTCTTTTTTTTTTTTTTGATGATACAGATACTAGACATTTCGTAGTATTTTTGGTAATAATAATGTTAACAATGAAAATCAAATCTACTAGTCCAATTTAAATTCAAAGTAACAAAAAGATTACATTTTAATGGAGTAAAAAGATCTCATTTCATTTGAACCAAATGCCTCCATGTAGTCTTTATGTATATACCATATGAAGGGAGACAAACATTTGTTTCTTCTGAGAAAGGGAAAAAAAAACAGTCAACTGTGGAGATTTCGTTTTGGTCTGAAATAAAAGTAAAAGAGAAGTGTTTTTTTCCTACAGCAAAGTTTTCCAGTATTATCCTCAGCAACATCAGAATTTTAAATTTCTTTTAATCAATTTTCTTTTACATTTTCTAAAGAATTTTCTTAACTTATGCATATCTTCATTTCAACTTTATTTTTCTTTTACTAGTTCATTATTGAAATATGTAAATATTTGCATCAATGATCATTACTAAATTTTGTTTTCTGTACCAATAGATTATTTTTAAAAAGTATATAAATTAACAAAAAGTTTTCATTTATAAAGACACTTGGGTGTCCTTCTTTATTTCTAGACTGGTCACACATATAGGGCAAAACATATTTTATTTTGTCCTCCCCCGTCGTCATTCATATGTATCTGGGTCATTGTTATTTTCTAAATACGGAAATATATTTTCCAATTTCGCAATTTCAACGAAAACGTTACAAGGACTTTCTAGTTTCAAAGAAGAAATTGAATTTGAAAATGTATCAAAAAATAAGAGTAACAAAGTACCTTGTAACGATGTGTGCATTAGTAAGCATTTGGAGCTTTTTTGTCCCGCAGACTAGCAACTCCAATGAAGTTGAGATTGTTCACTCGATTACATCGAGTGCTGCTAAAACAGCCGATGAAATAGAACCAAATTCAGGTCCTAAAAGTCAAGATTCCTTGAACCACGAAGTTGGCGAAACAAGCAACGCAAGTACCAAGCGAACCCGCTATTATCGTCACAGTGATCATCAAATCCAGCAATTGGAGGCGTATGTTTGAAATATTCATTATAAAATGATTACTAAATGTAGTGTTAATTAGTTTTCGATTGAATCTTGATTGAAGTATATAGGAAATCGCATTTTTTTTGCTGCATTTTAGTTTTGTTCTTTATTTAATGCATTGAATTGTTATGTTTATATAGATCTTTTGAAGAATGCCCTAATCCAGATGATAGGCAGCGGAAGGAACTTAGCCATGCCCTTGGATTGGAACCATTACAAGTAAAGTTCTGGTTCCAAAACAAACGGACCCAACTCAAGGTGACCAAACATTCATTTCATACAAATTACATTTTTTCTTGAAGTAACTCAAATAATTAGTTCAATAATTTCATTGAACTAGTCAGTAATTAAGTTTATTGAACAATGTACAACCATAAAGTGTCATAACCCACTTGAGAGCTTCTACCAAATTTGTCAATGATTCTCACAAGTTGGCTACTAAAAGAAAATTTTATTTTTATCACTTCCTTACATTGGACGTTTTATAGGCACAATCTGAACGCACGACAAATTTCCAATTGAAAGCTCAAAACGAGAGGCTTCGCACCGAGAACATGAGTTTCCGATACGCCCTTGCCAGCGGATACTGCCCTTCATGCGGCGGACAACCGGTTGCCCCACATTCATCTCTTGAAGCAAATGATTTAAGGCTGGAAAATGCTAGGCTTAAAGCAGAGGTATCGTTAAATAGACTCCCTCTGTCCCAAATTAATTGTCTAATTTGATTTTTATTTTCAGTACAATTTATACTAAAAATAGAATCTCAAACTTGACAATAATTTTGGGTGAAGGGTGTATCTTTCACAACAAATGCAAAACAAAAGTATAAAATCTATTTATTTCCTTAAATAATTTCCTCCTAATTTTGAAGATTGCAAGGGCCAAAGATTTTCTAGCACAGTTTAAAGAGAATGAGTCTCTCAATCAGAACAACGTTTGTCCTAATCCTCCACCTGATGTCGAGGAGGAAGGGCAACTGGAAGGAAATCTTCATTTCAAGGATACACCAACAATGTCTTTTGGAGTACGATCACCATCACCACCACCTCCTGTGAATAACCTTGACAGGAGATGGATCAATGAACTCGCAAGTTCCGGCATGAGTGAATTATACCAGATGTCATTAGCTGAATATCCTTTATGGGTTCCAAGCAATGAACAAAGGCAACTACAGCTCAACCAAGAGATTTATTACGAAATTTTCAAAAAAGTAGAAAATGTGATGAGACGACCTTCTTCTTTTAAGCGAGAAGGAACCCGACACACTGAGATTGTTATGATGGACTCCTTGCTTCTCGTCAATGTCTTGATGGAAATGGTAAATTAACCCTTTCTGTCCTCATTTGGTTTATCCATATTTCACTATTAGTTTCTTCAATATGTAAATTTCTCTTTTGAATAAATAATGATAGAGACATCAAATTAGTTCATCTAGAGTTATTATGGCTTCTTGATTACAACTATGACTGAAACCCTTTATTTTTTGCTTTTTGGATCATAGGAAAAGTTTTTAGCTGTTTTTAATAGCATTGTTTCAAAGGTTGATATTCTCGACATCATCACAGCTGGTGAAGCTGGAAGCTGTGGTCATTCTTTGCTAGTGGTAACTCTCAATTTCAACCATTCATATTTTTCAAAATGCAAATGGTCGAAACTCCTGAAAAGATTCGAAACACAATATGCATCTATTTGTTATTTACAACATACATAAAAGTAGGGTTTTAATCAAATAACATCGAATCTTCTTCTTCCATTATTTTCAGCTGTCTGTGGAATATCATGTCCTCACCCCCATTGTTCCGACAAGGAATAGCATATTTGCGAGACATTGTAGAAAATTTGCTGACGATACGTGGGTTGTGGTTGATGTCTCTTTGGATCACAAGTATGGAACGGGTTCAGTACACCCTAACTGCCATCGGATGCCATCAGGATGTATCATCCAAGCCATTCCAAGTGGTGGCTCCAGAGTATGTACATTAAGAACTTTATCTCATGCTTTTTGTATGTTTGTAGCACATGATAATTTAGCTGGTCTTCAAGCACTTTTGACTATTAGGATTCTTACGTTTTTATACCAGAACAGGATCTTTCATAGCCAATTGTAATCTCAAATCATCATGTCATTGGTTTCAATTTATTTTTGTTTTAACTTTATGAAAAGGTTACATGGATTGAGCATGTAGAGGTCGAAGATCGAAGAGTTCATTCATTGAGAAAGCCTTGTGTTGACTCTCTTCTTGCTTTTGGAGCTGAACGATGGGTTTCGATTCTAGCAAGACAATGTGAACGGCTTGCAGCTGTGTCAGTTCTTAATTTTCCTCCTGATGATGTCAATCATATTGGTAACCCTTCAAACCTTGTTAGCCATAAACACAATTTTTTGGTGAGCTTCTTGACTCCTAAACTAAGTCATAATCAAGGGTTTGTTTGTTTTCTGGTTTCCTTTTATTTTTTTTTTGTTTTTTTTTTGGTTTTTTCGGGGTCAGTTCTAACGCATCCAAAGGTTAGGAGAGATATATTTAAGCTATCTGAAAGCATGGTGTTAAGCTTCTCTAATGGAGTGACATCATCACCTTCGCATTCATGGATAAACCAATCATCCGGCAATGGAAGTGATCGAATCAGATTCGCCATAAAAACCACTCAGAGCAACGATCCGGCCGGCAAAGCCTCTTCGACTATATTAAGTGCGACAACCTTCTTCTGGCTTCCACTCCACCATAAATTGGTGTTCGAGTTCCTCTCGGATCAAAATACTCGAAAACAGGTATACCCTCGAAAACTTTGATCCTAAATGCCACTCGATCACTGCTCTTTTTCTAAAACCTGACAAATGCATGTACAGTGGAACATTTTGGCAAGAACAGGAGAAATTGAGGAATTTGTTCACATCACCACCGGGCATGAAGTTGCCAACTGTGTATCTATGTTCCGAGTGCTTAATGTAAGTTATTCGTCTCTTACTGCATTGCATTTCAAACTGATCAGATAACATGAAGAAAATTAAACCGTTTTCGTCTTAATTTATAGTGACATTTTGCACAATTGGTCAAACTTAATTTGGTGAAAATGTACTTAAGTTTAAGGCCTTATTTGGGATTGGTGATCTTATTGATTGTCTAAAGCTAGCTACAATTGAAATTTACTGATTGATTTGACACCTTTTCACAAAAATGGAAATTTCAATGAATAATATATTCATTTTAAACCTCGCAGGGTGCAAACACTGGACCAGAACTGCTGGTTCTCCAAGAATGTAGCACAAATCCAACATCATCTTGTGTTGTTTATGCCCCAATCGATTCTCAAGGTGTAAGAAAATTATTATTCGGCCGAATGCCAGAAAATGGGGAAGATCTCCTCCCTTCCGGATTTACTATATATCCCAGTTGCAGGCCATCATCACTAGCAACATTGACGAATCCTGAACAAGTGATTTCGAGAGCCGGTGCCGGAGCTGCCGGATCGCTTGTAACAATGTCTTTCCAAGTTCAGGTTGATCCTTCAGATACCACATCCATCTTTTCCATTAATGGATCGATTGCCTCCATAACTTCTCTCATCGAGTCTACCATGAAGAGGATCAAAACGGGTTTGCTCCCAAATTTTCTCTAATCCCCCACCTACAAATTTTGCTTGGAATTTCTACATAATTAATTCAGCTTTTTCCAGTTTCCTCCCTTCCGTTATGAGGATTTTGTTGTAGTTTTTATTTTTGGTAAGGTACACTATTTTAGACATATCCACATCCATTAATTGTGCTTGTTTCTGAAACAGTATATCATGACAAATGCTGATATGCATCATCATAATGAGACAAAATGCATTTAAAAATTTGAAAACTCAATATGGGTAATTCTCAATATGGACATTTCATTTAGTATAAAGTTAGAAATTTAATTTGCAAAACTGATGTAAATCTATATTTTTTCCTAGTAGAAGTAATTCTCTACTTTTGCAACCATTAAAAAAAAAACGAAAAAAAAAAAAGGCATGCTTCCTTTGGCCATTCCTCTTTTTGGTGGGTGAAAATTGCTTTTTTTCATCATTTAATTCTTCCTTTGGCCTTTTATGCTTGATTAGTTCTCTTTGCCTCTTAATACTTTTGTTAAAATAATTATAATGAACGTGATTTGTTTGATTAATATTTAAAAATCTAATGATAAAGATAGCTTTTTTTTTGTGTTATACTATTAATAAGTTTTCATTTTACGCAAAATCAGAAAGGCTAAATAAGTCGTTTCTTATAACATGCTTAACAGTTATGACTAAAATTTCAGACTTCACATAGAAATCAGAAGAGGTTTATTTTTAGTTGTATTAGGTGTTGGATTTTTTTATTAGTACATTTATTACTTTTGATTTAGTAGTTACAATGGACTAATGAAATGAAATGGCCATATAAATGAGTGGTGATTATGCTAAAATCATTTTTGCGTGTGTGATTTTTAATTAGATAGCACTCCTCTATCCCAAAAATGATTGTTTACTTCAAATTTTTACTTTTAGTACCGTATTAATTAAATGTGAAAATTTAAGCAGAGAGATTATGCAAAAAGTACATGTTTTATATCCTCTGTTGAAATAGCGCAAGTAAATGTATTTATGTAACGAATCATATACATCTAAATTCTAATAATTTCACCCAAGAGCACAACCACAACAATATTTGGGATTAATTACATTGGATTTTAGTACTATTTAAAATATATATATATATATATATATATATATATTAGGATAGTATGTCAATACTTATTAAGTGTTCATTTATAGGTACATTTGAGTTTGTTTTATATTGGTAATAGCTAAGCTAAATACCTTCTAATGAGATCATCACTTATTGTCACAATTTTTACGCGCACAACGTATGATCAGAAAAAGTTTACAACAAAATACATATTCATTTCTCCGTTTCCATGGAAACACAAGTTTATATTTTGATCATTAACATTATTCTTCTTATTTTGAAAATGACCACTAGTTAACATTACTGCAAAGTCACATATAGCGGATCAATTACTAAAAAAAATCAAAACAACATATATTAAAAAGGACCGGATGCACTTTTCGCCCACCAACTTTTGGCGGTAGCAAGATCGAGTCTCCATAAATTTTCAATTGGCAAAAATAGTCCCCTAAAATATTTTTGTCATCAATTTTAGTTAATTTAACTGAATTTTTAAAGACTTAACGGTCAAACTTTTGTTTCGGTTAAGTATTTAATTTTTTATTAATTTTCTTATGAGTGGTGGGTCCACTTACTTTGACCCAACAATTTATTTTTTACATTTCTTTTTATTAAGATTTAATTTTATTAATAAAAAAATTTTTAAAAAAAACAAAACAAAAATAAAAAAAATCAACAATGGCGGCTCACCACCCGCGCCGCCACCACCACCTCTCCCACCTCCTCCGCCACCGCCGCCGCCACCACTTTCTTTATACCCTAAAAATTATCTTTCTCTATCACGCCCAATTCAAACCCAATTGAAATTTTATGTGAGCCCAATTGATTGAAAACAAACCGCTTCACCCTACTATATATAATTCTTGAATTCTTCGTCATCCCTGTCGAACTTTTTGGCTCCCCTATTTCCTTTCCGCCATTTTTTTGGTGTAGCTCTCCATTCCCCCAATTTTACGTTAGTAACATTACAACTGACACCATCAATTTCAGCCTCTCGAACTCAATTATTTCCAAGTTTCAGTGGCTACGGCGAAGAAGATTCACCGTGTTTGATGTTGAATTTGATCAGTTTTTGATGCCATGTAGACCTCAACTCTAGTTTGTTTCCCTCTTGCTTCCCTTTTTTCGGTTTCTGGGTTTTCTTTAGTTTATTGTTGCATGAAAGATTTTGGTTATTGAGAAAGAGTAACAGTGAAGGAAAAGATGGATTCTTTGTTTTTTGATGCTATAATTCAGCATTTGCTTGAGCTTAGGAGAAAGCCCGGGAAACAAGTACAGTTATCGGAGTCGGAAATTAGACAGCTCTGTCTCAAGTCTAAGGAAATTTTCATGGAGCAGCCTAATCTTCTTGAACTTGAGGTCGCAATTAAGTGAACACCCTGATGCAACAGGTCACCGATGATTACGGTGTGGAGGTTTCCGACGGTCTTCCTCAGCCGGCCGCTCACGCTATTCCGACCAAGAACAGTGAGGAGAAGGTCGATGAGGATGATCTCTCCCGCCGTCTCACGGAGCTTAAGAATCGTGGATAATATGACTGGATTGTAGTATTTAGCTGAACAGCAGAGATTTTAATAAGAATTTGTTCGGGGAAATCTACTGATTTTTTAGCTATATGCACATTGATCTGAAATATAGGTAATATTGATAATGGATTATGGTGTGATATCAGAAATCTAAATGATAAGTGCTAATTGGGATTGTGGTGGTGGCGGAAGAAGGTGGTGATGGGATGAAGGAGGGGTTAGTGGCCATGGCCGGTAGGAATTGGTGGTCACAGTTTGAAGAATTTTTTTACTGCAAGATAAAGATGAAATATGGGGAAAAGGAAATGAAAGAATAACAACATTAAAACAAAAAAGGAAATTTCACTTGAAAAAAAGAAAAGAAAAGCGAATTTAGGGAAAAAAACAATATGATAAATTTTTTTTGTTAAATTAACCGTTAAGTTCGACAATTTTCTGTTAAATTAACCAAAATTGATGAGAAAAACATTTAAATGAACTATTTTTGACTATTGAAAATTCATGGTGACTCGAGCTTGTTCCCCCAAATCCCGAGAGACCAAAAATACATTTTGTCCAATTAAAAAAAAAAAAAACAATTGCAGCACCTAATCATCATGCGTCGAGCTGCGTAGAAATTAGGCTATTTTATAATTTAATAAAATTGAGAGACCAAGGTGTAATTACTTACCAAGGACTCACAAACCGTTTAACTGGAGTTGGTTAATTTGTTATGAGCAGTCATTCGGCGTTGACTGAATTGTAGATTTTCTTACCAACGATCCCAGTGTCTTGCTCTAGCTCTGAATTTTTCAAAAGCTTGGTTCCAATTGATATCATTTCATAGACTGCTTCTAATTAAAAATCTGTCACTCCACAGAATTTAATTTTGACTTAGCCCAATTCTTTCCCTTAATTGATTTCTGCAACATTTTACCACTATTTTGGGTTCCTTTTACGTTGCGTGAAGATCAATATGTGTTGTTGAGTAATCAGAATGCATCCGGAGTTGAAGCTAATTAGGCCAATGAAGTCTTAGATTTCCGGGATACATGATCCATTTGTATAGAAATTGTATAGCATTATATTTTTTGTATAGTTGATGTTACAGTTCTGTTAATACAGGACCATCTTGTAAATACTGGATAGTTAGGGCAGTTGACTTCGTCAATAGTGTATATATATCAGAAAATGTACAGAATGAACAATTTTTTTGACTGTTCTTGACGTATATAAAAAATTTTCCCCTAATTCACAAAACCCTAACTTCTTCTTCTCTAAAATGGTATCATCCTGCTCTGCCAGTCGCTTCCGCATCTTTAGAAAGTAGTAGGTTTTGCTGCGCACACCTTGCTGAGTATTTGTACGGTTCGATTTCTTGAATCATGCCGAGAAATCAAGAATCTGATGATGAAGACTACCAGAGAATTCCGAGGGAGCGATTGCAATTTTTTGATCAAATGACGAGTTGCAGCTCCATGGTTCGGAAACCCCTGGTTCGGTGATAATGAATTGTCCTCTGAATGGTAAGAATTACTTAATCTGGCACAACGTCATCGTCACTGCTTTAGAGTCAAAGAATAAATTCGGTTTTGTAGACGGTACTTGTGTGATGCCTGATATTCATTCTCCAATCTTTAAGAAATGGGAAGAGTTCATAGTATGGTATTATCATGGACTAAAAATGCTTTAGCACAAGAAATTGTTGTTGATTTTCAGTTTGTGAATGATGCTAAAGAATTGTGGGATGAATTAGCTCAAACATATGGATCATGTAACTCTCCGATGGTTTTTGAATTAAAGCGTGATATTTCTATGATGAGACAAGGTGATTTGAGCATTCCACAGTATTATAGTAAGCTAAGGCACCTCTAGGATCCATATGCACAGCTTAGGCCAACTTTAGCTGCAACAGGTTTGCTTAAGGTACAGATTCAAGAACGTGAAATGGAAGATAAGGTGATGCAATTTCTCATGGGTTTGAATGAGGTCTATGAACCAGAAAGAAGTGGCATTCTGATGTTAGATTCTCCGCCAAATCTGAGAACAGTGTATTCAAAGTTGCTTAAGGCAGAAAAACATAAGCAAGTTAGTGTTGGGATGTCATGTTCTGTATCTAGTGAGAATTCAGCTATGGTTGTGAAGACTCAGCCACTACAAAGTTCCAGGAAGGAAGGAGCTCGACCACACGGATCTAAACCTCCATCGATGAAAACTGGTAGCAATCTTGGTTCTCAAAAGTTAGACAAAAGTCATCTTCTGTGCACTCACTGCCGAAGAACAGGGCACCTGCAAGAGAATTGTTTTGAGATAATTGGGTTTCCAGAATGGTGGAACTTGCCTCCGAATCAAGTTGTGAAGAAACAGGCATATCTTGCTGACAAACCATTTGAGGACAATACTGAAGGTAGTAGTAAGCT